CAGTGGCCATGATCTTAGTTTTTTGATGTTGAGTTTCAGACCATATTTTGCACTCTCCTCTTTCACCCTCATTAAGAGGTTCTTTCATTCCCCTTCCTGGATCACTGCCTTGTCGTGGCGAAGGGGCTTGAATAACTCAGAGAAGCTATGAGCTATGCCGTGCAGGGCCGCCCAAGACGGACAGGTCATAGTGGAGAGTTTTGACTAAACGTGATCCACCTGGAGCAGGAACCGGCAAGCCACTCCAGTATCCCTGCCAAGAAAACTCCATGGACAAAGACAACAGGCATATAGTAGTGAATAGTATACAATAATATACAAAAATGGATATTTGGGAAATTGCACACGAATGTGCATATTGGGAGAAGTTTGCACTAAAATGCTCATAAATTCTCACAACCAAGTTTTTTAAAAGTAGTAAAAGTAAATCACAGATGCTGTGGAAATGTGGGAAAGTAAATTTAAAATTGGGAAAATGTGAATGGGAGAAACAAGCATATCTACCTATCCCTATTCTCCGGCTACTTTCTACACCTGGCTTGGATGCATAGCTGTCAACCGTCCCTTATTTGGCAGGAAACTCCCTTATCCCAACACTGTGTCCCGTTGCTGTCCCTTATTGTTGATGTCCCTTAAATTTCCCGGGTTTCAAAGGAAGCAGCTCCTCTCCCTCCCTCCCTGCTGGCCGGCCAGGGAGGAGGGAGGCTCCAACTGTGTTGCTTGGCTGCATTGCTCACCCAATAAGGAGTCTAAGAACGACTGGGGGGTAGAGCTTGCATGCCTTGTGCCAATCAAATCGGCCACGTTGCTTGGGGACTCGCCTTTGCTCAGCGCTTCCCAGCGGAGAGGTGACGGTGGTTTTCCTTGCTGCATCCCCTTTGCTGGGTTGCTGCGCTGTGGGAACCACCGCTTGAGGCTTCGTTTGGCTGCTGGCTGGGTTTTCTGCCTTTGGCTCAGAGGGGCTCAGAAGTTGAACATACCTGTGTTCAGAAAATCCCTTATTTTGGCTGCTGGTCCCTTATTTTCCAATTTGTAAGTTGACAGCTATGCTTGGATGAGTGCTCTTTTGGCGTCCTGAACCCTGCATAGCTGGTTGGGATGCACATTTTAGGCTCATGTGACGTATCCTGCACCCCATAATCCGCTTTGGAACTGATAGTTGCTGGTGTGAACATGTTCGAGGGGGGCGGAAAGATCCGTCCCTACCTGAGTTATCCAGATCCCACCTGACTTCGGTTTCAAAATTTGGTTGAACAGGCTGCAGGTCTTCTCTTTGTTATAAATACAACCTTTATATCCGATATTATGCCTTCAATGTCTCCTTCCTGGGTGTCTAGGCAATCCCTCAGCTGTTGTCCCTTGTCAACAGTCAAGGTACTCTAAGCAGCCAAAGGGGAAACTCTTCTTCCACGTGGTTGATAATAAACCCGTAACAACTTCATTAGAGACCTTATTATAGTACCAAGGCTAATTTTTGGAAGACTCAATGTTGACCCAGTTTGCTTTGTAATGCCACTGCTGTTTCACACGGCCATCTATCAAGTTTGACAGCATCTCTACTTAGGGGAGCGAAATCTGTGAGCCAAGCAAACTTCACGGAGAAATATGTTTTGTCAATACGGTTTAAGGTCCCTCGTGCTCCTGAATTCCAAAAACGCAACTTCCATAGTGCAAAATAAATAAATAAAAATAAAACAAGATTTATTCATTTCAGATTGTTAGTCTTGCTGCAGTAAATTAATCCCATTTGTGCCACGGACTCTAGAGTGCCAAAGCCTCATAATTCTTTTGTGGGAGAAAGATGGACCCCGCAGGGAGCTGAATGGATGAATTCAATAAAACATAATTATACAAGCTATGGGCCCCCCAATGTTATTGGACTACAACTCCCATGAATCCTGTCTACTGGCCATGCTTGGCTGGGGCTGATTGGAGTCGGAGTCCAGCATTATCAGGAGGGCCACTGGTACACAATGCCTGGGTAAGAATGCAGTTGGCTGGCAATTTGTTTGTGTGTGAACTTCCTGCTGGTTGCTGTGGTTCTTGCACAGGACGCTGAATTAAGGTGGACTGAAATCTGCTCCAGCAAGGCACTTTTCACTCTTACTTGAAGACTTGGACTCATCGGACAGCGTAAAACTTGTGATTGTTGTTGTTGTTTAGTCATTTAGTCGTGTCCAACTCTTCGTGACCCCATGGACCAGAGCACACCAGGCACTCCTGTCTTCCACTGCCCCCCGCAGTTTCGTCAAACTCATGCTGGTAGCTTCGACAACACTGTCCAACCATCTCGTCCTCTGTCGTCCCCTTCTCCTTGTGCCCTCCATCTTTCCCAACATCAGGGTCTTTTCCAGGGAGTCTTCTCTTCTCATGAGGTGGCCAAAGTACTGGAGCCTCAGCTTCAGGATCTGTCCTTCCAGTGAGCACTCAGGGCTTATTTCCTTCAGAATGGATAGGTTTGATCTTCTTGCAGTCCATGGGACTCTCAAGAGTCTCCTCCAGCACCATAATTCAAAAGCATCCATTCTTTGGCAATCAGCCTTCTTTATGGTCCAGCTCTCACTTCCATACATCACTACTGGGAAAACCATAGCTTTAACTATACGGACTGAAATTAATTGATCTAAGGTGCCCATTGATTTCACTGGATCTGCTCTGAGCAGGACTAACGCTGAATGAAACTCTTAAGCCTTTCATTTCTATCTGCACCAGGCAAGATATTTCTTGATCAGCATTCCCCGAACCTCCTGCATTAATTTTTGTTAATGGCCGTTTTGATTGTTGCGCTGTTTAAATGAGCTTGTTTCATAGCACATTTTCATTGCATATTTATTGTTAACATTTCTGTGGAACGGTTTGAGTGTGTTCTTCAGTTATGTGCGTTTATATTTATCTGTAATTGGTTTTATACTTGTAAAATGCTGAGGGACCAAGAAGGAGGAAGAAGAACACAGAAAGCTGCCATATCAGTCCCTTGAGTCCTGTTGGCTATTTTCTTAGTCATGCAGATTTCGCAACTGAAGCCCTAGTGATGAAGTAGACTCCACACCCCAGACTTTGAAGAAGGGCAGCAACTATTACAAGCAAAATCATACATATACAGTGGTACCTTGGTTCTCAAACGCCTTGGTACTCAAACAACTTGGAACCCAAACACTGCAAACTTGGTAGTTAGTGTTTTGGTTTGCGAACTTTTCTTGAAAGCCAAACATGCTCCATTTTGAGTGTTACGCTTCCGATTTGAGTGCCACACTTCCATTTTGCGTGTTATGCTAAGGTCTGTCTGTCTTTGCTATTTATTTTATGTTTTTGTGGCTCTTTTTTGTTTCGTTCTTGTGACTCTTTGGAACCCAGTTCAGCTACTGATTGATTGATGGTGTGACTGCAGTACATTGTTTATTGCTTTCATTTTATGGATCAATGGTCTCGTTAGATAGTAAAATTCATGCTAAATGGCTGTTTCAGGGGTTGTTCTTAAAAGTGTGGAACAGATTAATCCCTTTTGCATTACTTTCTATGGGAAAGCGTGCCTTGGTTTTGGAACGCTATGGTATTGGAATGGACTTCCAGAACGGATTAAGTTTGAGAACAGAGGTACCACTGTATATTAAGTCCAATGCAATGCATTTCACTCTCTTGAGCCCAAGAGAGGGTGATCTTGATTCTTGATTCTAAAACTCCCTTGAAGCCGTCCATGAATTGTAGCTCGGTCCACACCAACTCCTCTGGGCCACATGAGCTTGGAGTTTTCACACTTGGCAAAACAACCAGCCAATTTCCCACCCATCCTATCACTACCCATGATCACTTTTAAAGGGAGCTATCCATTTCTGTGACCTTAATCGGAGTCACAAGATTTTGCAGCTGTTACATTACATCACATGGGTTTTCTTTTCCCTCAGTTCTTTGCAAAATGCATTTCCTAACAAATACGGAACCAGCACAAATACTAACATGCCCATCTAGCTCAGTGTCGGGAGTGCGTGCAGGAGCCAGGCCCTGTGACCACTAGGGCTTCGCAGGACTGGGGCCTTCCTAAGTTTGTTCTGGAGAGGCAAGGCGCGGCCGCACAGGTGAAGCCGCTTGGTAACTCACTGCACCTGGTGGCAAGTGCCGGGAGGGGATATAAGGTCAGCATTGTCGGGATCTTCGCTCGGCCAAGCTGATAAAGCTCATCCTCCTCCGGCCGAGTCCTCCGGAATCGCCTCCGATGTGATTGACCACCTGAGCCTCTGATAAGGCTCCAGTCACATCCCCCCATTCAGCAGAGTTTCCAGCAGCATGTGGAAGGATGAGATAGTATGAGCTACATGCTATGCTTTATTTTCTAGCTACGCAGACAGCAAAGAAAAATACATCCTCTCTCTGTGAAAGACAGAGAGCAACTGAAACAAACAAAGGAACAGGAAACCAGTAAACATCACATCCGTCTCCTGTCTTCCGTGAGACTTCCAACAGCCTGGAATGTCTCTGGAATGTAAACAGAGTCTTGTGACTCTAAGCAGCTGCACAGTGGCAAACAGAAACTAAGAAGCATTGGCTCTTTGCCACAGCAGCACGCTTCCTGCCTTGCTGAGTTTGGCTTCTTGCTTCCTGATCCTCGGACCTCAGCTCCTTGACTCCTTGCTTCTCGACCCTCGGACCCTTGACTTTGTGACTCCCTGCTTCTTGACCCTCGGACCCCCGGCTTCTGGACTCTTATTCCTGCTCCCACCCCGCCATCTTGCCCCCTGTCCCGACGTCCTCAGCTGGAACTTCCATCGCCTGTAGACCGGACCATGACAGCAGCAGTGCAGACATTGGGCCAAATTCTTTCAGCAAACAGCTCGGTAGCTACAGGTCCTGGAGGGTTCAGAAGGAAGCCCCGGGTAGGAGAGGTGTAAACATAGGAGGTTGCTTTCCATGAAGTTAGATCCTTGGTCCATCTAGGTCTGTATTGTCTACACTGACTGGCAGCAGTTCTCCAGGATTTTGGACAAGGGGACACTCCTGGCCATACCTAGAGGTGCCAAGGATGGAACCTGGGCCCTTCTGTAGGCAGAGCAGATCCTTTGCCACTGAGCTATGGCACTTCCCTGAGAAAGAACAAGGAGGAGGAGGAAGAGGATGGAATGTTGCTTTGCAAACACACTGTGCTGGGCCCAGGCGGTAACCCGTGGAACACAGTCCAGGACCGGTGCAGAATCCAGAGGTTCCACTAGGAGTCGGTCCAACAGGGCCAAGGCAGGACACGAGGTAGGAAACCAGACAAGGGCAGGTACAGGATCTCAGGCAGGATCTAGCATACAGCAATGTTGCTCCCGCAACCTGGGGTGGGGTCCAACAGCCTTTTATCTTTGTCGGGGTAACGGCCGGTCCTGATCCCCTGGTGACTCACCTCCCTGTTTCGTCCGAAAGCGAGCACTTCTGCTGCGAGTACTCAGGTTTCTTCTTCTCTCAGACCTGAGTCTCTACAGCTCGGGAGACGTCGGTGGGTTACTAGACCCAGGGGCTGCCTCAGCCTCCCCTGACCCAACCGGTAGTGGAGCAGCTGTAAGTGATGGCCCAGCTGGAGGCAACGAGGTCATCCCCGCATCTGGAGCCAGGGCAGGCTCAGGCCCCTGACTCGGCCTAGCTGGTGCTTGTTGCAGGGGAACCTGTGCAGACTAGGACTCTTCAGGATCAGGCACCAGACCTGGTTCAGATGAGGCAAAGGATCTGAGTCTCCTCTGGTTCTGAGTCTGAGCCCGAGTCCCAGGCCATCACACCCACAACACCATGGAGTTCTTTTAAAGAGAGGGAGGGACAGAGAGAGAGGCAACAAAACGCACAACTTTTCAGCCTTGCCCAGCCTGGTGGAACGCTCTGTCCCAAGAGACCAGGGCCCTGCGGGGTTTGACATCTTTCCACAGGGCCTGCAAGATGGAGCTGTTCCGCCAGGCCTTTGGTGTGGGCCTAGACTGACCCCCTTCTTTCTATGGGACCCTGTATGTAAGTGGCCTCCTTGGCTCTTTCCATCGGCCCATATGGGACCAGGACGTGTGGCTGGGCTGGTGAACTTTTAATTCCTTATCTCTATGGTTATTATTCATGGGTTCCCACTTAATTTTAGTTTGATTTTAAATATGATTCGAATTGTATTTTAAACTACAGTGGTACCTCGGTTAAGTACTTAATTCGTTCCGGAGGTCTGTTCTTAACCTGAAACTGTTCTTAACTTGAAGCACCACTTTAGCTAATGGGGCCTCCTGCTGCTACCGCGCCGCCAGAGCATGATTTCTGTTCTCATCCTGAAGCAAAGTTCTTAACCTGAAGCACAATTTCTGGGTTAGCGGAGTCTGTAACCTGAAGCGTATGTAATCTGAGGTACCACTATAATTATTTGATTTTGTGTTTTTAATGTAATATATTACATTATATTGCAGTGAGAGATTTTACTTTCTTGGGCTCCATGATCACTGCAGATGGTGACAGCAGCCATGAAATTAAAAGACGCCTGCTTCTTGGGAGAAAAGCAATGACAAACCTTGACAGCATCTTAAGAAGCAGAGACATCACCTTGCCAACAAAGTTCCGTATAGTAAAAGCTATGGTTTTCCCAGTAGTGATGTATGGAAGTGAGAGCTGGACCATAACGAAGGCTGATTGCCAAAGAATGGATGCTTTTGAATTATGGTGCTGGAGGAGACTCTTGAGAGTCCCATGGACTGCAAGAAGATCAAACCTATCCATTCTGAAGGAAATAAGCCCTGGGTGCTCACTGGAAGGACAGATCCTGAAGCTGAGGCTCCAGTACTTTGGCCACCTCATGAGAAGAGAAGACTCCCTGGAAAAGACCCTGATGTTGGGAAAGATGGAGGGCACAAGGAGAAGGGGATGACAGAGGACGAGATGGTGGGACAGTGTTCTCGAAGCTACTAGCATGAGTTTGACCAAAGGGTGGGAGGCAGTGGAAGACAGGAGTGCCTGGCGTGCTCTGGTCCATGGGGTCACGAAGAGTCGGACACGACTAAACAACTAAACAACAACAACATTAGCCGCCCTGAGCCCAGTCTCAGCCGAGGAGGGTGGGGTATAAATATTATTATTATTATTATTATTATTATTATTATTATTATTATTAACGGAGGCACCCAGTTGTTGGCTTCCTGCTGCAGAGGTCAGCCATGGCCTTCTCTGCACACACAGACAGACAGTTTCTCTCCAGTAGATCGCCAGGACCGAGCCCAAACATAGAATCCATTAGAAGTTCTCCATCTCTTAATTCGTCGTTAACATGGCTCTCCTGAAATAGGAGCTCCCCAGGGAAGGGTTTTGTGTTCTGTATTTTCTCAAAACTGCCAATCAGCGTCTTCCTACACAACTGGGAATGCACACACAAAGCTCTTTATGAGGTTGTTGTGACTTTTTCTAGAAGCAATTTATCACTGGATCCGGCTAAGGTCGTTCCATTTGGCAAGAAACACAAATCCCCTCTAGAGAAATGCCTTATTTTAGCTCACGGCGGGCTTGCATCCTTTCCAAAGCAGGCACTTAACAGTCCCAATGGTGTGTGCTTGTGTGCGTTTCCCTGCTGACTACTGAAAATATTTTCTTATTTATTGCAAGCATTGTTTTTACCACCCACTAACAGTTAGTTCTCTGGGCAGTGCACTTTTTTTAAAAAGCATCAAATCTAAAGGTAGAATAAATATCAGTTAAAACAGCAATCGGATCAAACTACAAATTACTCAAGAAGCACTCAAGTGTGTGTTTTCCAAAAACCTAGAAAATAAAGAGGAATTCTCCTAGCACCCAAAGGCCACAAAGCAGGCACAGTTCCCTTTTAGGCTGACAGGGGATTTGAACCCTAGCGTCCCAGGTTCCCTTCCAAAACTCTAACCACTGCACAACGCTGCCTGTTTTGACTATTGATTTGCCAGCGGGACATTGGCACTTTGGCAAATACACCCTATCAAAGCTCCTCTTTCAAAACGCCAGGGGGAAATGAAAAAGGAGTTATGGGGTTTCCGAAAAATGCCCGCCTTTGTGTTAGCCTGGGAGCATCCTTGTCAGTGAGACAGAGACTGAGTTGTGCAAAGGTAACGCAGCTGAGTTGAGAAATACAGTTTGTGAGGGAAGTACTAAAATAGGATGTCTGCAGCTACCATTCCCCCATATCTTTTGGTCTGGCAACATTCTTCACGTGCAATGAGATGCCTGGGGAGAATCACACAACCTTGTGGAACGCCAGTCATTTTGTGGATGGTTCTAAACTGTTTACAGGTGCTGTTCTTTTGCCCCATAAACCACACAGACCAGTGGGGAAAGACAACCTTTCCCTTTTGCTAAGCAAAGGTTGGGGCAGTCAAATTACAGTCCAGAATCCTCACAGGAGCTGTAGAGCATGGTTATCAGACGTCCCCGTTTCCCAGGGACAGTCCCCGGATTTACAAATCTGCCCCTGTACAAAATCCATCCCCAGAATGTCCCCAGATTTCATTTAATGTCCCCGGATTTATATTTTACGTGTTGTAGATTTATTAGTAGGGAATGAATGTTGCGTGGTTGGTTCAACGGCACAAGACACATCATATGGGGACTTCCAGTGAGGCAAAATGGCAGGTGCCACAGCAGCGAGCAGCTCCTGAAGTCAGCCAGAGCCAACTGCGCTACCAGGCTGGCTCCGGGCTGCTGAGACTGCCACTGCCACTGCCAAGTGGGAACCGGGGATGCCCGATGCATCAACTGGGGGAACCACTGACACACACACACCCCACGACCCAAATTGAGCCGGGAGTGAGAGCGCCCGGCCACCCGGCTGACTGCCCAGTAGCACTCGGGGGCCAGGAAAACCCTGAAGCCGATGCAGGGAGAAGGAGGAGAGGAGAAGGAGAAGGAAGAGAGAGAAAGAGTAAGGAGAAAAAAGAGGGGAGCCCCGACCTTGCCACGCCACTGCCACCGCCGCTGAGAAGAGGAGGTGGGAGAGCACCGGGAGGGCAAGGACACATGGCCAAGCCCAGACCCGACCTGAGCCTACTCCACTGTGGCTAGGGCTCCAAGAGAGCAGGCCGGGGCCCAGAGGAAGGCCACATGACAGAGGAGACCACAGAAGAGAAGATATTATTTCTTATTTTTTTAAAAAAATAACTTTTTAAAATAACTTTCTCTCTCTCTCTCTTTTTAAAGTGTCCCCGTATTCTTTGAAAAAAATCTGGTAGCCTTACTGTAGAGAGGAATCTGAGGTAGAATCATAGAATCATAGAGTTAGAAGAGACCACAAGGGCCATCGAGTCCAACCCCCTGCCGAGCAGGAAACACCATCAGAGCACTCCTGACATATGGTTGTCAAGCCTCTGCTTAAAGACCTCCAAAGAAGGAGACTCCACCACACTCCTTGGCAGCAAATTCCACTGTCGAACAGCTCTTACTGTCAGGAAGTTCTTCCTAATGTTTAGGTGGAATCTTCTTTCTTGTAGTTTGGATCCACTGCTCCGTGTCCGCTTCTCTGGAGCAGCAGAAAACAACCTTTCTCCCTCCTCTATGTGACATCCTTTTATATATTTGAACATGGCTATCATATCACCCCTTAACCTCCTCTTCTCCAGGCTAAACATGCCCAGCTCTCTTAGCCGTTCCTCATAAGGCATCGTTTCCAGGCCTTTGACCATTTTGGTTGCTGTACTGGAAAAGTACAGTACAGGTAAGGCTGTACTGGAAACAAAACAGCTCATCTCTCACTCAGCGCTCCCAAGAGATTCATGCTGACTGGAAGCCATATATTCTAATGACTTCGGCCCTCTTCGTGCCTTCTTCAAATCCATGTGAGCAGAACGAAAATGGTCAGGGGATGGAGTGACAATGCTTACAGCACTGGCGACTTTTTAGTTTAAAGGAAAGGCGAGTGAGAGGTGACACAACAGAAGATTATTGAATTATGTACGGGACGGTGGTTAGAGAGAAGTTTTTCTCCCTCTCTTCGAACTCTAGAATTTGTGGACATTGAGTGAAACTGAATGTTGGAAGGTTCACGACAGATACAGTGGTACCTCTGGTTGCGAACGGGATCCATTCCAGAGCCCTGTTTGCAACATGAGCAGAACGCAACCTGCGTCTG